ATATATATATATATATATATATATATATATATATATATAAGGAAAAGGCTGATAACTCGCTTCCCACAGGACTATTGTGTGTGTGTGTGTATATATATATATATATATATATATATATATATATATATATATATATATATATATATGTATGTATGTATGTATGTATGTATGTATGTATGTATGTATATATAGGACAGTCAAAGAAAGAGTACATAGACCTATCAATTTAATTAAAGTTAACTCAAATAACATCAATTCTGGACAGCCCTATAAACTATATATGTTATTTTTACAATACATTTCACAACACGAATCATACAATACGATTTAACGATAACACTTACATAACAATCATCTATATTTACTTATTTTCGTTACTGTTATTATGACTGACAGACAAACACAATCTTAGAAGTTATGTCGACCAACATTTCCTTCGTTAACAAGGGCCTGTGTGTGCCTGGAATATAAATGATGAAATGAGTTGATGGATAAAAAAGAAAAATAAAGATTAAGTGAATGAAAATGATTGAATTTGGAAAAGTGTTTTATATAAATACTTGGAATAGGAATGAAGATTATAACATGTAATTCAGTCTGGTTAACTAAGATTGATAAGTTAAAAGAAAAAATATATGGATAATAGCATTTTTTTTTTTTTAATGGCAAACCAAATATTGGATAAAAATTCTAGTTCAAACATTTCTTCGCGGAATGTAGGACTGATTCTCAAATTATGTCAGACTAGAAATGAAACAAGAAAATAAATAATACAAAAAAGATAGAAAAAGTAAGGAATAAAAAAAATGAAAATAAAGAAAAAAAGGAAAAAATAAAAAAAGATAAAAATATATAAAGAAAAAAAATATATATATAAGAATAAAAATACTTAAAAACATGATAGTCAAAATAATAACAAAATATAAAGATATTAAAAAAAAAATAATAATAAACAAAAAATAAGTTCCAGACACTCACCAGCGTTAGGTCTTCATCGCTAATGCAGTCGGCGACCTGCAAGTTGCACAGGTTGGAGTATGTGACCCCGTCGGAGCCACACACGGGGTCATAGTTGGCGGGGCAGGCGAGGTCACAGTTTTCTTTGCACTCGCCCGGGTAAGCCTGGAGAGGGGAGTGAAAATTGGATAATGATGATGATGATAACAATAACAGTGACAATGATGATGATATCAATAATAATAATGATAATGATAAGGGTAATGATAATAATAATGACAATAACAGTGGCAGTGACAATGACAATGAATATGACATTGACATTGACATTAACACTGACACTGATAATGACAATGATAACGAAAAGGATGATAATAATAATAATAATAATGATAATAATAATACTAGTAGTAGTAATAATAGTAATAATAATAATAATAATGATAATGATAATAATGATAAAAATAATAATAACAACAATAACAACAACAAAACGACGCAGTAAAGGAAGGTATTTAATTAAAGAAGGAAAATTCACTCAGACAATATTGCAAGGATCGTCTCTGCAACTTCCTGTGCAAGGTTGGGTCAAGCAAGGGAGCTCTTTTTAAACGCGTAATTGTTAAGATGCAATTCACTTCAACTACATGCATATTTCGCATCATAATGAATATTTACATGGATAGCACTTTTCGTACATTTGGGTGCGTGTCTTTATATTAATGTTGTTGATTACCATAATGAAGTATCCATATAAAATGTTTAATGCAATTCAGATAAAGAATATAGGAGAGGAGAGAATTAACAGTTAGAATTACACAAATAATACCAATTAAAGCGATGTCATTTGCATAAAGAAAGCTTAGAATGTGAACAGCATTGTATCGTTCCTGGGCAGCGTCCTTTCCCTTATCCAATAGAGTAATAACAGAATCTATTTCCTTAAAAAAATCCATTTCGCATCGTTATTTTGAAACTCTACAAATAGATATCTAAGCATGAAATCTATTTTTTTCTATTTATATTTTTTAGCTTTAAATTCCTTTCTCCATGTTATTTCCGCCTCAGGTTTGTGTGTGTGTGTATATATATATGTATATATATATATATATATATATATATATATATATATATATATATATATATATATATATACATATATACATATATATATATATATATTAAATATATATATATATATATATATATATATATATATATATATATATACATATATATATACATATATACATATATATATATATATATATATACATATATATATACATATATATATATATATATATATATATATATATATATATATATATATATATATATACATATATATATATATATATATATATATATATATATATATATAAATATATATATATATATATATATATATATATATATATATATATATATATATATATATATATATATATACTGCGTCTATATATATATATATATATATATATATATATATATATATATATATATATATATATATATATATATATATATATATATATATATATATATATATGTGTATATGTATATGTATATATGTATATATATATATGAACTGATGACGGGTTGAGAGTAAGAAACAGCAGAATGGATATACTGGTTCGCGAAGAAAATTGTTTTCGAAGTTTCCGGTCCAGACTGCATAGGTTCGAATCCTTACCACGGAAGAGAGTTACATAAAATCTACATCAAGTCGCAAGTCCAATTTTTATTTTAGACTCACCAGCGTTAGGTCTTCATCGCTAAGGCAGTCGACGACCTGGAGGCTGCACAGGTTGGGGTACGTGACCCCGTCGGAGCCACACACGGGGTCGTAGTTGTAGGGGCAGCCGACGTCACAAGGCGCTTGGCACTCCCCCGGGTGAGCCTGTCGTGGGAAGGGGGGGAGGTATTTATGAAGAACAAACATGTACACAAATCTATGTATCTATGTATCTATCTATCTGTTTATCTATCCATCTATACGTTTGTCTGTCTAACTGTCTATCAGTCTATCTGTCTATATGTCCATCTGTCTATCTTTCTGTCTCTCTGTCTATTTGTTTATCTGTTTATCAGTTAATAAATTTATCTATCTCTCCATCTATCTCTCTGCTTATCTGTTTATATATCTGTCTATACATCTATCTATCTCCCTATCTGTATATCTATCTGTCTGTCTATCAATCAATCAATCAATAACTCTCTCTCTCTCTCTCTTGTGTGCTGTGTGGTGCAGCGGTAGCGATCTCGTCTAGCAATCTTGCAGACCTGCGTTCAAATCCCTCGCCGCCAGTGGATGGTAACCCCAGCCATTCCTTGCACACAGGGTATAACATAGAAGCAAAATAAAACAGACGCTATATCACACCAAGAATATCCATTGTAACAAATGGAATCAAACTAAAACCTTTTTTTAAACTAAAACCTCTCTCTCTCTCTCTCTCTCTCTCTCTTTCTCTCTATATTTCTATCTATCTGTCTGTATGTCTGTCTATCCATCTATATATCTATCTATATATCTATCTGTCTATCTATCTATCTGTCTATTTACCTATCTATCTATCTCTCTATCTATATTTATGTATAAATGAATACATAATTTGACAGATGTAGCTACAGAGCTACATACACACAAATATATTACAAATAGACATAGATAGATATACAGTAAAAGTCTGAACAATGTCTGCTGAAAAGTGTGACTACATATTATACAAGCAGTTTTGTACAAACTCATCTGGGTAATATCGTCATCAGAGATACAAACGGCTTTTCATTTTCACCTGATGATTACAGATATCCAGTCTTTAACACCACAAAATATCAGACAATCTGAATAACTATCTTTATCATTAGGAAGTGAGTGATTTTTTTTTGTCAATCGTGCAATTTAGAAGTCTGCAAGTTTACAGATTGACTCACTCACCAAGGTTATATTGTTCTCACTGAGACAGTCGGCGGCCAGCAGATTGCACAGGTTGGGGTACGTGACCCCGTCGGAGCCACACACGGGGTCATAGTTGGCGGGGCAGAGGAGGTCACACGTTTCCCGCCTCGCCTGGCATTCTCCCGGGTATGCCTGGCGAGTATGATATAAGTCTTAAGTCTTAAGATGACATTAATACAGTGATAAAATATATAACGAAGATATAGATAGTTTGGATAGTGAAGGAATCATGTGTAACATAACTTAGCCACTTGCCTTCTCGTCTGACTGAGAGAAGGCAACTTTGTAAAGATAGTTGGGTCAACTGTGCTACTTCTAAGTTCGTGGCATAGAATCAGAAGTCACGCAAATGCTTTTAGCGTGGAAACGATTGCAAAGAATCATATAAACATAATCGTAATCAAAATCTCTATTATGATCACCCTGTCTCCTCTAAAACATCACGTTGTTCTGTTTATTCTTAGACTTCCGTGGGATACAATTGCCATATTCCTGCCCTATCTATCTATCTATGGCAGACCCACCAGAGTAATGTCTTCATCGCTAAGGCAGTCGACGACCTGGAGGCTGCACAGGTTGGGGTACGTGACCCCGTCGGAGCCACACACGGGGTCGTGGTTGTAGGGGCAGCCGACGTCACAAGGCGCTTGGCACTCCCCCGGGTGAGCCTGGGAAGAGGGAAGCTCAGAAGTAATACGTGGGAATACGTGGGAATTGTGTGTGTGTGTGTGTGTGTGTGTGTGTAAAGAAAAGAGACTGATATTGTTATTGACATTGTTCAGAAAAAAAACGAGATGAGGACGTTCTTCATAGACTGAAAAACGGATATAAACATTTCGGAATTTAGAACACTAGAAGCATATACAATTTCTGTGATCATGTTTCATGCAGCGCCCATTAAATCTACAGGCATATACCCACATCATGTTGATTATATATCTATACTGCCTTATTATACCTCACATAAACATTGCCAAGAATAGAAGAATAGGGTCTATACACTTACAAACGTTATGTCTTCGTCACTAGAAAATAAAGAATATAAAAAAATAGAAAAAGTAAGGAATAAAAAAATGAA